TCAACTGCTGATCTGTTGGAAAAAAAAGGCATGGTAGCTCTGCTACCCAAATCATTGGGTGAATCAAGCCAACTGTCAGGTTTCCACCAGGAACTGTTCTCCTTGTTATATGGAAAACAGGAGGGGTTTCTTAGCTTTTTTTGTTGTAATATAGCTGACCATGGCCTTCAGTCCTGCTGTTTTATGAACTCCCTTCCACTGCTGACCCCAATGGAGAGGCTTGGAGTTTGATCATCCTAGCCTTATGCGTGTATTAATGACTTTTTTTTACTGTGTTTCTCAAACACATCATAGGCTTCGTCCAGCTTTTTTTTAAACCTCACAGTATTATCTTACTATGGCAAGTTGCCAACGTGGATATTACTGTTGACATTGCAGTTTGAAGTTATAGCTCCACCTGCCCCCAGCCCTTGAGTATGTAATCAGTCTATTTCACTTATTAAAATATAGAGTAATTGTAGCCATTGAGCTTTGTGACTGTAGCTCAGAGAAACAGCAAGCATCCTTATCACACTGCCAGTTAAAAAAAAAAAAAAAAAAGAGCTAACTTATGAAAGAGGGTTTGGGGGAAAAAAGCAGAAAAACTTTTCTCAAACAAGCTTGTACTTCTGTATTCAGGAGGTGCAATTATATACAATAACCAATTGTTTTAAAGAAATTTATTAGGGGAGAAGGGATTGCTCAGGCAAACATTGGAGACTTGTTTCAGCCTGCCAGCCTGTTTTTGAAGCTGAGGCAGTTGCAGTCACACAGGGAAGATGCCTCAATCCTGTTGGATCCCACCAGCATAGGCCTGTCCAGAGCACAAACAGGGCATTTGGTATTACAGTCCTGCACAGCATACATCATCTTCTACTTGCTCGTAAGTAGGAACTTAATTAGCTGTATACTGTACAAGTGACTTGAAACAGAATTTTATCAAGATAAGGCAATCAGGTCTTTTGGTTAAAAAAAAAAACAGTTGAGGGTCGTTTCCTGTGAATACTAGTTGTAAATATATTGCTTACAAGAATACAGCAGTGGAGAGGACTATATATGGTCGCTAAATGAAAGATGCTGTAAAGATGTTCTGTATATATTTATCTATATATTTAGATTTGCCGTTGCAAGTTTTACTGTTACCGCTATTGTACAGCAGATAAACCGAAACATGTAAAAAGCTGGTGATTTCAGACAAATCACTCCGTGAAATTAATTGCGTATTTATTATGCAAACTGTTGCAGATCAATTATTACAAGCCTCTGTAAAAATATAAATATGCCTCTATATTTTGGAATTTACAGTTCAATAAAATGTTCTTTGGCAGAATTAGTCTTGGTGGCAGACATGTTGGGTATCTATTGAGTATTCTTTGCTTCTTTTGTGTTTGTAGGCAATCAGTGAAGTGCAGCCACTAGAAAAAGAAAATGAAATCCAATCTTAGATTCATTCAAACAGCAGGAGTTCTCTTCTCCACGGATCCTTATTACTATGTTACACATAACTAACAGCTGAGCACCATCAGTTGTGACTTAAGTGATGGGAATAAATGCTGTTACTTGTGGTTCCCATTCTTCCGTCCTTTCCCCAGAAGGGAAAAATTTTGTGCAGAGTCTTTTTTTTGTTGCTTGTTTTATTTGCACACATATTGTATTTATACCTACAAATACTTCCCCAAGGAGGGAATGTAATGTAATGCTGGAGGAGGGAAGTTCACATGAGCACTCGCGCATTCTCCCTCGTTCCCTCTGTCCCATCCCCCTCCTCTGTGTTTTGTTGAGGGAAACGGCACTGCCTGGGGAGGAAGGGGGAATGTTTGCTATGGCGGGGTGGTTCGACCTGCCTCTTAGAAAAAGTCAGCTCCTGCAGAGGTGGCTGTCATCCTTTTGGAAGCAAGTTCACTGTATGAGAAGATCAGTGTTGTTGACCGTACTCCTTTCCTTAGATCACTGTTACAATCTTCTTGTGCCGAGCCATTTGAACGTCCTGAAGGTAAAGTCTGAGACTTTCAAACTCAGGATGCCTCGAACTTGAACTTGTACCTCCTGAATTCCAGCGCTACAAACTTCCTCAGTGTATTGAGATTGGAGCTCAACATTAATCATCCTGCTCATAGTAATCATCCAGCTGAATTCATGTGTGAGTGAGGTTTTCTCAGTATTGCTGGTAGTAAACCAGAGCCTACTTTTCCCTTTGACTATGTAGTTTTCCTCAAACCAGGCAGATTCAGTTGCCTACTAGTGTTGGGCAGCACTTCACCTTCATAGGAAACCTGTGTTTTACTTCCAAGGA